AGATCAGTGCCACACCCTAGATTTTGGGTGTATTTGGGGTATATTTTGGTCTGTTAGAAAAAAGTGCCTCCTAAAATTTTAAAGGAAGAAAGATATATGTACAAAATAAGGGTTGATACAATGAAGGGATGGAAGGATGGACTGTAAAGATGAAAATTATAAAAGATTTTATAAAAGGAATTGATAAGATAAGAAGTTGTTTGTAAAAAGAAAGAAGATTTAAAAAAAAAAAAGAAAAAAAAGGGAGAGAATGTGATCAGGCAGGAGACTAGAACAAAGCCATACACTAGTGGTTTAGGGTATATTTTGATCTGTTAGAAGAAACTGTATCTCAAAATTTTAAAGAGAGAGCAACTTATATATATATGCCAAAAATAAGGGTAACTACTATGCAGGGATAAAATATGACTCTAAAAATGAAAAATAAAAAATGTTTTTTTAAAAAAGGGATTGATAAGATGTTGGTTGAAAAAGGGAAAAAGAAAAATTAAAAAAAAAACAGTTAAAAAAATTAACTTTGAAAACTAATGAATCATGGTAAAAAAAAAGCCACAAATTCTATGTGCAGTATTCCCGTAGGGCTGGAGTTCTCCCGTTCTCATTGATCGGTAAACTTGGTCTTGGCCTGCTGGCTGTTCGTGCTGATCTTCTGGGGGAGGGGCCTGTTGCCATGGTTCCCAAATGTCTTTGCCAGAGGCGGAATTGCCCCACCCTTGTCGGTCCGGGCTAAGCAAGCTGCTCGGGTTTGCTCTCAGGAGCTTTTGTTCCCTGCAAGCTCTGGTACAGCTTTGGAGGACCAGAGTGAAAATGGTGGCTTCCCAATCTCCGCCCGGAGGAGCTGAGAACTCGGGGCCCCGCTCCTCAGTGTGCTCCCAGAGAAAAGCAGTCATTCCCGTCTCCCTGGTCTCCGGCCGCACTCCGTGCTCACCCGGCCTGTGACCGAGCGTTTCTATGTCTGGCACCCGACCCCATGTGGAGTCTCCAAACCCAGCAGATCCCTGCAGTGCGCTCCCGCGCCGCTCCTCCTGGGGGAGGAAGGGGAGTCTCCCCGGCTCTGCCGCCTGTTGGGTCCCTGCTGGAGGAGCAGTGGCCCGACTGGGCCGCAGATCATGATTTATGGCCACCCCGAGCTGAGAGCCCGAGCCTCGGCTCCGTCTCTGCAGCCGGCTTCCCCGCTCCGATACCTGGGAGCTCTGCCGCACTCAGGCACCCCCGGTCTCTCTGTGACCCCGAGGGTCCTGAGACCACACTGTCCCACAAGGGTTCCACCCCCAGCTTAGCCACTGCAGCGACGTCCCTCAGCGGAGCTGACTTCTAAAAGGTCCGATTTTGTGCTCTGCGGCTCTAGCACTTGCCAGAAGCGGCCGACGGAGGCCCCCTCCCCCGCCATCTATCCTCCCGAATATCGCCTCGGATTCACTTCTCCGCACGTCCTACCTTCCAGAAAGTGGTCGCTTCTCTGTTCAGAGAGTTGTTGCTACTCTCTTCTTTGGTCTCCTGTTGAGTTCGTAGGTGTTCAGAATGGTTTGATCCCTATTCAGCTGAATTCCTGAGACCAGACGAAATCCAGGTCTCCTACTCCTCCGCCGTCTTGCTCCGCCCCCACCATCACTAGTTTTTATACTGTCCTTTTACTCTTCCAAGATCTGATCAGGATATCATAGTGTATTAGGTTATCATGTCTTCTTAGTCTCCTCTGGTCTGTGACAGTTTCTCAGTCTTTCCCTATTTTTCATGACCTTAATAGTTTTGAGGAGTATAAGTATTTTGTAGAATTTTGTCAGTTTGGGTTTATTTGATGTCTTTCTCATAGTTAGAATGAGGTTATGGGGTTTTAGGCAGAATACCACAGAGGTGAAGTCCCCTCCTTACCACATCATATCAGAGGACATAGGCTATCAACATGGCATCCCTGGTGGTATTAACCATGGTCATTTGGTTAAGTTAGGGTTTGCCAGGTTTCTGAACTGTAAATTTTCTATTTTTACCCTTTCTATACTCTGTTATTTGCATATGAGTCAGTTAATCCAGTCCACATTCAGCTTAATTCATAGTAGCCCCAGGCTGGAAACAAACCACATATCCTTCAATAGGTGAATGGTTTAACATCTGTGCTACATTCATATTATGGAGTACTAGTCAGCGATAACAAGGAACAAACTATTGCTATAAACAACAATCTGGATGAATCTTCCAAGAATTATGCTGAGCAACAAAAACCAATTCCAAAAGGTTACACGATGCATGCGTCCATTTATTTAACATATTTAAAATGACCAAATTATAGAAATGGAGACCAGACTGTTGTTGGCAGGGATTGTTGAAGGGGTGTGGGTGGGAGAGGAGTGCATGTGGCTATAAAAGGACAACATGAGATATCCTCCCAGTGAGGAAAATATCCTGTATGTTGGCTGTGTTGATATCCCAGTTGATATCCCAGTTGTGATATTGCACTAGAGTTTTGCCATACATTATTATTGAGGAAAACTGAGTTAAGAGTGCAAGGGATCTCTCTGTATTATTTCTTGCAACTCTATGTGAGTCTACGATGATCTCAAAATCAAAAGTTCTATTGAAAAAGGACACCAGTAGGAGAATGAAATGCCAAAACAGAGTAGGAAAAATTATTTGCAATACATATAACTGATAAAAGATTAGAATCCAGAATGTATAGATAATTCCTATAAATAACCCAGAAAAAGAAAGAAAACCCATTTTTCAAAAAATAGGTTAAAGTCTTAAATCACATTTTAAAAGAAGATACTCGAAGGATGAATACACCTACCAAAACCTGCTCAACTTTATTGGTCATCAGGGAAGTGAAGATTAAACTCACAAAGAGATACCACAACAAACTCATCAGCAGGGCCAAAATTTTTAAAAGACATGAAACTGAAATCAAGTGTTGACAAAGATATATATTATCTGGAATTCACATGTACTGCTAGTAGGAAAATAAATCATCATTAACCACCTTGGAAAATCGTTTGGCAAGATCTACTAAACCTGAGCATATGTATACCCTATGACAAAGCAATTCTACTTTTTGATATGTATCCAGCAGAAATGCATATGTATATGCATTAAAAGACATGTATGAGAATGTTCAAAGTAGTATTATTCCTAATGGCCCTATACTATAAACCATGAAATTCCCATCAACAGTAGAATGGATACAAAATTGGGGCACATTCATACATAATTCATTCATACATTTATACATGTTTGTCCATAATGTCTCTGTTTCCCTCCTATCCATCAGCCTGTCATCATGGCTCTACTTCCAAAATTCTACCTGATTTTTTTTCACCTCTCTTCATATCCTCTGACACCTCCTCAAATCCACTGTCATTTCTCATATGGTTTACAGACATAGCCTTTAACTAGTCTTCTTGTTTCCACTCATGCTCCCCTATGATTCATTAGCTGTAAAGTAGTCAGAATGGTCTTATTAAAATATAAATCAGATCACTTCATCCTCTTGTTTAAACCTTTTAGTGGGCTCTTGTTGTATTTAGTTAAATCCAACTCTTCATCATGGTTTGAAAGGCTGCCATGTAGTTCTGCTGTAGTGAAAGATGTTTACAGAGAAAGATCCTAAAATACATAGAGTGGTTTAAACAAATTAAGAGTTTATTTCTCTCTCGCACAAGAGTTGGAAGGAAGACAGTCCCAGGTTGGTAGGGCAGCTCTGCCAGACTCGGGGATGGAACACAGAGTTCCACCTGTGGCTCTCACGTGCTTGCCTATCACATCTGCCTCCCAGCTAGCCAGAGGGGAAAGGAAAGGGGGAGACCATGCTCCTTTCCTCTTATGGGCTCAGCCCGGAAGTTTCCCTTCCTACTTCTGCTTCCATCCTCTTTGTCCAGAACCTGGTCACAGGGCACACCTAGCTGAAAGGAAGCCTGGGAAATGTTGTCTTTAGCTAAGCTGACATGTGCCCATGCACGACTCCATTACCGTGGAAGTAGGGAAGAATGAATATTGAGGACAACTCGTAGTCTCCGCTCCAGGCTATGTCGTGTCATTCCTCTCTATTTTCCATCCTCATCTCCTCCCTTCTCTCCCTGGCTTTTGGCTCTCCAGCCACACCAGCCTTGCTCATTCTCTCCTTAGTCCTTAGGCCCTTGTATCTGTGCTGGCCTATATCTGGAATGCTTTTCCCTAGATCTTCACCTGACTGGCTTCTTCTGATCCTTTGTACCTCAACCCAAGCCTCATACGTCTTCTGAAGATGCATTCCCTGACCCTTCCCTTACAAGCAAAGTGACCACCTCCTTACCATTATCTCATTCATATGGTTTAATTTCTAGCACTTACCACTAGCTCAAATTCTCATTTACTCACCTGCTTATTATCTGTTTCTCCCACTGGAATGTAAGCACCCTGGGGGCAGAAATGTTGTCTGACTTATTCCCTGTTAGATCCCCAGCCCTTAAAAGCTACCTTTGATAAAGCAGGCATTCAACAAATATTTGTTGAACAGACGAGTTCATTTAGCCCAAAGCCCTTCATTTTATAACTGGGGAAGCTGGAGCCCAGAGAAAGTAAATGGCTTGCCTGGGCTTCTGCAAGTAGTTAGTAGAATCCAGGTTGACACTTTTCTTGGACACCCTATTTCATCCAGGCTCTTCTTTGAAGTCTCTTATATCGCCCCTCCACAACTGTTCCTTTGAACACCTGTAGCACTAGACTTTAACAACTCTTGGGTTTTTATTCTTTGCTTCTTTGTATTGTTATTTATCTTTGTTCTATCTGTCTTGTTTTCCCAACCAAGCTGCAAGTCCCTTGAAAATACCAACCTTCTGACACAACAGGCCGTGCATAGGTATTTGACAAAGAGACTAAAGTTACTTTATTCGGTCAAGTGAAACTTAGAACCCTTACAGCTTTCATCTTGTCCTATCATTGAAGATAAAAGTTGGATACTGGAAGACTAGATTTGGTGGGAGGTAATTCCTGAGTATCGCCAGCTAAGCATACAGGCAGGGCTGTCTTACCGGCAGCTGGGATCTTACGTGCTTCATCAAAATTATGCAGAGGAGCTGCTCTCGGGATAATGGGTGGGTTCTGAAAGGTAATCCTTGCTGTCGGTGGAATCAGTCCTCGTTCAATCATATTTAAAATCCCTGAGAAGGAAGGTTAGAATATGACTTTAACTCCAAGCATTTCTACAAAGTCTGAGATCTAGATGAATAGTCTTCTTATTTGTGAGAGCACATCTAGTGCCTTAATCCTTTGCATGAAGAAACCATTAGAGTACACGTTCGTTTGAGCCTAATATTCTAACCTAAGATAAAATGGCATTTCCCATAGTGGTTTTATGAAATAAACTTGTATTAAGATAATTTCGGAGTGGGGCGCCTGGGTGGCTCAGTTGTTAAGCATCTGCCTTCAGCTCAGGTCATGATCCCAGGGTCCTGGGATCGAGCTCCAAATCAGGCTCCTTGCTCAGTGGGGAGCCTGCTTCTCTCTCTGCCTGCCACTCCCCCCCGGCTCGTGCTCTCTCTCTCCCCTGACAAATAAATAAATAAAATCTTAAAAAAAAAAGATAATTTCATTTTAAGGTAGAAATATAATTTCAGTGCAAACTAAAACTTCTTTATACTTAACATTTCAATGATTGATAATATTGTTACTCTTTTTAAAATTCAGAGAAATCAAGTACACGGTCTTCATAACTAAGGAGAGGTTTTGTTCTGAAAGAAAGAAAATCTATGTGCTTGTATCTATTCTCCTGTTGTTACAATGAGTCATATTTTATAAAAGAAAGTTATTTTTAGGGGTGCCTGGGTGACTCAGTCGGTTAAGCAGCTGACTCTTGATTTTGGCTCAGGTCATGATCTCAGAGTCGTGAGGTTGAGCCCAGTGTTGGGCTCTGTGCTGGGCGTGAAACCTGCTTAAGATTCTCTCTCTCCCTCTCCCTCTGCCCTTCACATTCCGCTCTCAATCTCTCTCTCTAAAAACAAAACAAAACAACAACAACAAAAGAAAGTTATTTTTAGACATTTCTCATGTCACCAGAAGATGTGATTGCTTAAATAGATGAATTTAGTGTAACTGGGAAACATGGATAATATTAATGATCCTAATTTACAATCCCTAGAACTCATACTATGTCAGCATGGCTGGTACGAGGGCTTTTTTTTTTTTTTTAAGATTTTATTTATTTATTTGACAGAGAGAGACACAGCGAGAGAGGTAACACAAGCAGGGGGAATGAGAGAGGGAGAAGCAGGCTTCCCCTTGAGCAGGGAGCCCGATGCAGGGCTCGATCCCAGGACTCTGGGATCATGACCTGAGCCGAAGGCAGATGCTTAACGACTGAGCCACCCAGGTGTCCCTGGTACCAGGGCTTTTGAAGGACAAGAGACTGTGAAATAAATAAACAACTAAATGAATCAATGAATAATTGAGCAAAGCCTTCTGGCAGGGGCAATGCTTTCATTAAGGTGGACCTATTGTGTTGAAGCCAGAAACCCAGAAACTCAGGGAGGATGTGAAATAAACTTGTGATAGGGCTTCAGCTTCTTGTTGCTCTCATGTAATAGGAAGGAAAGTAAGGAACTCTGAGTCTCAAGGAAATCCTCGTCTGCAAGCTGTGTACCGAGCTGAATTAAGTTGAAGAAGTTGGCACAGATTCTAAGGGGAACAAATATGGTTTCTGTTTGCCTGAGGACCTCGATGACGATGTTATGTTGTTATTAAGGATGCTAAAATCTAGTGTTACACGAATTCAGAGAAAGGATCACTGAGGGATTGGGGAGCTGGAGAAGACTTCACTTGTAAAACAATGATTCCAAAGAGAAATCTTCAGTTTGCTTACTGCAGAATCATTTCGGGGGGGCAGAATTTCTTATTAAAAATGAAGACTTCTGGGCCCTCTCTTGGGCCTGTCCCAACTTCCGAAGTCAGGGTCTGGGAATCTGTATTATTGAAGCCTCCAGGACATAACAGTAATCTACATTTTTTAGTAAGCCCTCCAGGTCAATCTTTTGTACTTTTAAATTTAAGAACTTCTCATCCAGAGTACAACTCTTTAAGCCCCATTTGAAATTAGGACTTCAGGATTTAATTTTTCTAACACTAGATTTAACTACCTTAAAATATTAAGAGTAATTCTGTGTCCTCACAACTATTTTCCACCCTTAAGTATCAAATCCCGTTTCCAAGAACTCTGCCTGACTTGCAGATGTGAAAAACAGAGCTCCTACTAATTCAGTATATTTTCATTACTGCACTCAGAGAGAATCCCAAAGAATGTAAGCATGATTTTAACCTTTGCTTTAGTACTGGTTGGAGCAATTGACTTAATTTTAGATAAACACATGTGTGTACATTTACCATTGGAAGGAAAAAGTTACGACTTTGGGATAAGCAAAAGAGGCTGGGTATCTTTTCATTGAAATGCTGGAACCTCTGGAAGTTATCTGACCCTGTAATCACCTTTGTTTTTGATGAGTCTACTTTACAATTCTCTAGAGATTAAGGTTAATATATAGAAAACTGAAAGCAGTGCAAATATTTCTTGTTTTATATGCATGCAAATGAACTCGGTCACACAGAGGGATGATGCTTCTGTCACCCCCAAAAAGCCAGTCGTGTGTCCATTTGCAAATTTATTTCACTATTCTTGATTTGTTTGGATTCTCCTAGGAACCAATTGTAACATCCTACTGATTCCTTCATTTAATCAATGAGTTCAATAAAATCTTCGATGTCTCCATTTTATAGTTGTATAAGAGTCATGGTTTTACTTTAAAATATATCTGTCCTTTAATAATTTTGGAGATCTCACCAAGATGAGCAGAAGATTCACCTGAAATTGCCAGAAATGATGCACAGCACAGGGAACCAAGTCTAGGCATATATTTTCTTAGCACCCCCAGGCGAATTCAAAGCGGCAATAGAACTTTATTGTCTGTTTTTCTGATTTTAGTATTACTCCTATTAATTTTTTGTTTTGTTTTTCTTTTTGCTTCATGTATGGCTAAGTTATTCCTTATTGGTAGCTACAGTGACTGGGAATTTGGTGGTCTCCATAAATGGATTAATGTCCTAACAGAGATCTAATTCCCTGTTGAGTGAGAGGACAATAGAGAATATAGTTTGTTAGTCTTTTGCTTGTCCACTTGTGTATTTTGAGCTCAAATCAACTAGGAATGTCATGCCCACAAAGAAGGTGGTATCTGGACCAGTCGGTGTGTTTCTGTGTTTATTTTTCATCTGTAGCTGAAATTGTAGAGTTGAAGCTATAAGCCCTGTCTGTATCTGTATGTTTATGTATCTGTAATTCAGAAAGGCCTTTATCTCTCATTGTGAATGTAGAATGTTTTTCTGTCTCCAGATGGTATTAATAAATTAGACTGTAAAGTCTCAAATTAAAGGAGCTCTGTTCAGATTGACTTACAGAGAGAAATAAGTTATGTAAATTGAGTATTCTTAAGATTTCTAGGAAATAAGGAAATCAAACTTCTAATCCTTTAAATGTGCTCCCCCTCATCTCCCAAATTCAGAAACTGTCATTGAGTCTCTTTACTTTTCATGGCAATATAGTTACTTGGATAGTTTCAATAAAAATCTGTTCTCCTTTTACTAAGATACAATTGGAAAAATCACTTATGCAACCAAGACTTTGGAATTTCATATTTAAGAGTGATACTTATTAATCATGAATGACAAGTCACTTTTAAAGAACTAAGGTTGACTTTATGGAGCCAGTGCTTACAAAGCCTTCCCAAAAACCTGGCCTGGTACATGGCTTGTAGGGTTTTCATTCTTGCAGGTGGTAGGAAGGTCATGTCCAGGCCCAAGAACCTTAGGATATTTGGAGCACCTCTAGAAAAGAGGAAATTACCCAAATTTGTAGGTCCTGTAGTTGAAATGTGGTGGGCAGAGTTTCTTGGGCTTGATTTCCTAGCCTTAAGATAGCAAATAATAGAGGATTTTGAAAGTTCAATCTAAGATTCCTTATGAAAATTTCCAGCAGAGCAAACTTAAGATAGCCTATTCTTGCTGCACCTGTGTAAGTAATCAGGACAAACCTAATGAGAACAGCCTTATTTTTTGACTTTTTTTCTTTTTTGGAAATCTTTTTAATCAAAACGGTGGAAGACTGTAAGAATATTTTTGTTTAAGTTTTGGAATGAGCAAAAGAGATTTCTGGATACCTTTTGAATGGAATGCTGAAGCCTTCAGGGATTATCTGGACCTAGTTTTTGACGGAGCTATTTCACAACTCTGTAGAGATTAAGGTTAGTTTGTAAAAAAACAAAACAAAACAAAAAACTGATATTAATGCAAATCAGTCTTATTTATAGACTTGAAAATAAATTCTGCCTGGTGAAGGGACACTCTTCCTTCCCACAGAAAGGTCAATTTTGCATCTATTTGCAAATTTATTTTAATATTCCTGAGCTATAAATATGGTCCTTTGGATTCTCTTTTAAACCAGTTGTGACATTCTACAGATCTCTCTCTCTCCCTCTTTTTTTAAAAAGATTTATTTATTAGAGAGAGAGAGTGAGCACAAGTGGGGGGAGGGGCAGAAGAAAAGAGTCTTTAAGCAGACTCCCCATTGAGCGTGGAGCCTGACCCAAGTCTTGATTTCAAGACCCAAGAGATCATGACCTTAGCCGAAACCAAGAGTTGGACACTAAACCAACTGAGCCACCCAGGGACCCCTACAGATCTCTTTTTTAATCAACATGTTAAATAAATAAAATATTTGACATGAGTTCATTTTAAATTTGTATAAGATCCATGATTTTACCTGTTTTGGGAAATGATCCCTTAACACCATTGTCTCATTAAACTTTCATAACACTCTTACTTTCCCGTGGAATGGGTTAGGGAATAGACATTCACTCATTCAATGGATATTTGTTAAGTGCCTATTATGTGGCAGGAGCTATTCTGGAGGCTGGGGATACAGTGATGAGCCAGAGAGAACTCACAGAGCCTCTAGGAGAGTTGAAGATGTTAAATAAAGTCACAATAATTGAGTCACAAATTGTGATCATCTATGAAGGAAAAGACAGATGCTTAAGGAAGTGATTTTTCCAGGTTTCCCGGCAGAGATAGAGGCACTTGTGAAGGTCCATATGAAAATGTGGTTGGCCTGGAGAGGAGCAGGGGAAGGGCATGTGGTGGAGGGTAGAGAAAGCAGTTAGCAGAGAATGGAGGGAAGGTCCAGGTCAGGCCTGCCTTGTTTGTAGAGTCTGGAGTTGATTAATCAATCAAGACCAGAGAGCAACTGGCCAGAGGTCACACACAGCCTGAAAGTTTGGTTTGTGTACTGTGAGACATATATTCTTAACCGTTAAAAAGAAAAGAAAAGAAAAGAAAAGAAAAGCTTGCTTTCTTTTTTGGATGTAACAAGATATTTCGAGAAAAAGTCAGGAAGTTCACCCTGCATTTTCCAAAACAACTCTCTCTTCTGGGTGTTGTTAATCCTTCACCTCTGGCTGGACTTGTGTGAATCTGAGATGACATTAAGGGCATCAGGAAGATGTAAAAATCTAGACACTGTGTCCACATTTCTGTGGCCTGAGCTTTCTTGACGTTTCTATCACCTTGCACAGTACCAGACATTTGGTGAGTACTCAATATATGTATGTTGACTAATTGGCTGATTAATTACAAATATTATGGCAGGTCATGTGTTCTCTGGTGGATCACTGAGGGATGAAAATGTGATTTTTTTTCTGGGTCAAGTTGCCATGGTTCTAGATTCACTTTTGTTTTGCAGCAATTTTTTTCATTATGTCTATTGCTAAAGTGGACCCTGATTGATTGATTCATTCATTCATTCACTATTTCATTCATCTTAATTTGATCCAGGAAGAATAGAAGATGGTACTAAAGCAAGAACTCTGCTGGAGTCATTCCGTATTCCCAGGGAGTAAATATGTAAACTAAGTAAAATCATATGTCACAAAGATCTCCGAACAACAATGGTTTATAACTAGAAAAGTAATAGTTACAGTCGTGAACTTCACACATTAAGGGATATATAATGATGCTGGGTTCTCCTGAGTTCTGTTGTTCTTCCTCCAGCAGTAGGTCAGTAAACAGTAGACAAGATGGAGAACTTTATACCTCCAAGGTCCAAGAGAACCTTTGGGAAACTTTAGGTCCAAACTATTCCAGACAACAGATAGAAAGTAAGATGGGAATAATTAAAGACCATCTCACTTGGTTATATTTGAGATACAAAAGGGGATCCACTTAGGCATTTTTCAACACTTCAGCCAGTTAAATTAAGTAGCAGAGAGAAACACGCAGTCCTTAGTCATTCATTTACTTATTCATTCAACCAACATGGTTCTGGACACTAGGGATACTGAGATGAAGATGATATGACCTTTTGTTTTAAAAACTAGAAACCCACTGGTTTCATGAACACTAGAATTTAGACTGAGACATGCATGGTTTAAATGCCACTTACATTAATTCTGGCTTCATACTTTTGTATAATAGTATATTGAAATACATTTTTTAAATGCTACCAGAATATCATCAGAAACTATCTGCTCAGAAACTTGAAAAATTCTAATAATACCACATAAACACAATAATTTTAACACGTAATAACACCAACATCTCAATCAATATTAAATCTGTAAGATGATGGGTTTCAGAGGTGGAAGGGACTTTAGTTGTTGTCTAGTCCAAATTTCTGATTTACAGAGGAGCAAACTCACGCCAGAGTGAAGACCCCGACTTGTCTGAGGTCACCTACGAGCATAAGTAGCTGAGCCCGAATTCAAACTCAGGCCCCCTATCCCTCCTCAATGCTCTTTCCTGTAGATTCCTAAGCACATAAAATGGTCGTTGAGTCACTAACCTTTCCTGGCATCTGCTTGTAGGACAGGTATGGGTGTGAAGTAGGGATCCGTGCGATGCGAGGCTGGTAGAACGGTGAGGTTGGATATGGTAGACCCTTTCATTAACTTCTGAACCTTCACCTAGACAATCAAAGATTTGTTTCAGCAGACAGTTTTGCTTTCAAAATGAACACAGTTTTCTTCTTGTAAACAATAAATAAGGTTATGAATAGTTTCATTAAGTTTTAATAAAGTAGCAATAGCAGCTCCAATTTTATTGCTCATGAGTACCCTGTGCTATTGTCTACTGTGAGGAGTTTGTGTAATTTAAAATAGTTAATTAAATCCAATTAACATGTTATGATTTCCACTATGCAAAGTCACTATAGTAGTTAATAAAGGAACTATTAAGATTTCGTTCAATTTTAATGACTATGAAATAAAAGTGCTAAATCTTGACAGAAGAGGTTTTGAATACAGCAAAGTTTTGTACAGGCAAATTTCCCAGGAAATACATATTAGAGTTGTGAGAGTAAAAAAAAAAAAAAATCAACAAGCGAACTGGGAGAATTTCAAGATAGATGTATCAAGGGCATCTGGGTGGCTCAGTTGGTTAAGTGTTTGACTATTGATTTCTGCTTAGGTCATGATCTCAGGGTTGTGAGATGGAGCCCCACTTAAGATTCTCTCCCTCCCTCTAAAACAAAACAAACAAACAAAAGGTTAAAAAACAGGTAAATGTATCAGTCAACATTAATAGGTTAAAAATGATCTTTGAGTGGACTCTTGAAAATCTCAGATAGAGTTAAAAACCTGATATCTAGATCAGTTACAGTAGATGATTATCTTTTCTAAAGTCATTAAGTGCTTTTATTATAGTTATGAAATATGAATTGTTTCTATTAAATGGTTTCTAGCTTTTAAAGACTAATATGTATTGCATATAAATCACATTTAATTGTATAGCTCAAGTATGCTATTTTTACCTTTATTAGAAGAGGTTATGAATTACCTGGGCCCTCCCAGCAGGGAAGATGCAGCTGTTTGGTATTTATATACTGATTTAAATTTTCAAATCATTTTCCAAACATTAATTAATCTTCATAACTTCTAAAGGAACTAGGTAACAATTTGCTCTTTAACTAATAAAGAACCAAGACGGAAAGGCTAGTAGATTTGTTTCAGGTCACACAATATACTAGAAATACACAGCTTATTCAATTTTAAGATTTATCTGATTTTACATTAGTGAAATTTGCCATTGGACTCCGTTGTACCCTACCTTATTGCTCCTCAAGTTCATGGGAAAGGAAAGGGAAATTCATCAAGAGTTGAGAGGGGGAGAGAAAATCACTTCCCCAAATAAGTATCTATTGGCTAAAAAATGTCTGTGTGAACAAAGGATGTGGGCCTTAAGCGAAATTGTAAACAGCTACCATCCTGTGAACACCAAACATTTGGTGAGGACAGTTTAAAATAACTATTTTTAAAAAGCTCCCTGAGCGATTCTAACACACAGCTGGGGTGCAGTCGCTGTGAAGCCCTCCACAACACCAGCCCAGAGTCAGTGACTCCCTCTTCTGCACTCCCATCACCCTGAGCGTGTCCATTCCTCATGAAACTTAACGCCCATCGTATTGAAGTTAGTGTTATATAATAAGTGCTCAGTAAGTGCTCAAGGTTGTTCCATGCCTTCTCCCTCCAAGCAAGCAAATGCAGAGGTGGTTATCTTACCACGGGAGCAGGACGGTGGAGTGGGCTCATGTTGCACGCCCAGTGACAAGGAAAGAGTAGACAGCGCAATCTCCTGCCTTCCAGGTGAGTTGGAAGAGGAAAGGGGAGTGGCATGGGCCTTGCCTTTTTTAAAAAAATATTTTATTTATTTACTTGAGAGAAAGAGAGAGTACAAGCAGGGGGAGGGGCAGAAGGAGAGGGGGAAGCGACTCCCTGCTGAGCAGGGAGCCCAACATGGGGCTCGATCCCAGGACCCTGGGATCATGACCTAAGCCGAAAGCAGATGCTTAACTGACTGAGCCACCCAGGCGCCCCTCCATGGGCCTTGCCTTAATGACAGCTAGGGGTTCATGTGCGTGTCGTGTTATTATGGCAATTCCATCTTGCCCATCCACCGTGGTCTCTTTCTCATCCTCAGCTCGCCTCGCCTCACCTCACCTCACCACCAGACCCGGGTGGCCTCCAGGATCTCCTGATCACCCAAGGTACTGTACTGCAGGCCTGGCATGTGCATAGCTGATTTTCAGTAGCAAAAAGGGAAGGGTCTCCGCTTGTCTGATTGATATCAGGGTCAGGGAGGCAAAGGTAAATCGGAGGAAGAGAGAAAGATTCCACTTAAATAAAATTGCCCAGCATTGCGAAGATGTAAAGTACAGGTTTGGCAGTTTCAGGGCACAGAGCATCATTTATCTGGATTTTCTGAAAGCCTTTGACAAAGTACACCTGCCAACCTGCTCTTGAAAGCCAAAGTAGCAGGATCTGACATAAAACACAATGCAAAGTGTGACACAAAGGAGAGGGTGGAAGGCGGATGATACGGGGATCCTGTCAGGCAGCCAGCTGGTTTCTTTAATTGTTTCAATTGCATCTATCTCAACAATGTAAAAGCCAGACCCAGTGTACGCGTGCGTGCATGCATGCGTGTGTGTGTGTGTGTGTGTGTGTGTGTGTGCGTGTGTGTGTGCAGGGGCATGCAGAAGAGGGTTACACTTGGGGTTGACATCCTCTCGAGATTACAGAAATAAATCCCACATGCCGTGTCACTGGGCATGCAACATGAGCCCACTCCGCCATCCTGCTCCGGTGGTAAGACAACCACCTCTGCATTTGCTTGCTTGGAGGGAGAAGGCATGGAACAACCTTGAGCACTTACTATATAACACTAACTTTAATACGATGGGCGTTAAGTTTCATGGGGAGTGGACACGCTCAGGGCGATGGGAGTGCAGAAGAGGGAGTCACTGACTCTGGGCTGGTGTTAAGGAGGGCTTCACAGCGACTGCACCCCAGCTGTGTGTTGGAATCTCTCAGGGAGCTTTTTAAAAATACTACTGCCTGGGCCCCAACTCTGGGCAAATAAATCCGAATAGCTGGCTGGAGCCTGGGCCTCAGTATTTTTATAATGCTCCCCGGGTGATTCTGATGTGCAGCCAAGGTTGGGATGGACTGCAGTAAGTGATATTTAAATTGTGTCTTAAAGGAAGTATTGAATTATGTATCACGTGGAGAAGAGGATGCAATTATAGAGAGAAAGGATGGTGGTGACAAAGCAGAACAGCATACAGATGGATGAAGATTTCAGGGAAGGGGAGGCTCTTGGTGTGGCTGGAGTATGGTGTGTATGTACCAGGAGGGTGGGTGGGGGACAAAACTGGAACGGTAGGTTAACAAAAATGAAAGAAACCAGTGCCGATTGCCTAACAGAAGTCGAATATCATCTGCTTCTGGCTTCTCCTTTATGTCATGCTTTATTTTTTAGCCTGGAACCATGCTGTGTAGTTTTATAGGTGATATGGACTATCATAGAAATAGAACAATGTTCTTTATATCTGGTGCGTCATGACTATTTCCAAAACTCTATCGCTTTATGCCTAAACCTTCTATAACAGCTTAATTGTTTTTTCAAAATTTAAAAAAACATAGAAAAGCTTAAAAAAGAAAAGAGCAATCACATTCCTGCCAGCCAGAATTAATCATTGTTAATATCTTGGTATATTTGCTTCTCGTGTTTTCAAATAGAAAAACCATCCTATTTTATGATTCTGGTAAAAAATGATATATGCTCATTATAAAGATTCCAATTAATGCAGAAAAACAAAAAGATGAAGGTTTAAGAAACCATGCCAAATATCATTAGGTGATCCATTATCCCTGACATCTTTGGAATGATTAATATATCATTTTACAAAAATAGGATTTATATTACATTATTAAACTTAATTTTTGACATGAATTTAATAGGAGGGAGAAAGACTGAATTAAACTTAACAAATTATGAAACCTCAAGTCAATATTTCTTTACCACAAGATTCCTATGAGTTGAAAAAGATTCCTCTGCAAGGGTTGGCAGTTTTTGTTTTTTGTTTTATTTAAAGGGCCAGACAGTAAATACTAGAGGCTGTTCTGGTCCGTTGTTAGAGCTGGAAAGTAGGACAGACAATATGTAAACAAATGGTGGCACTATGTTCTAATGAAACTTTATGTACAAAAACAGGTGGTCCACTCTCAGGCAGTAGTTTGTGGACTCCTGCCCTATAGTTAAATAAAGGTGATTATGAAAAACATTTAGGTTTTTTTAAATCACGTTGTAAATTTGAGTAATATACCCCCATCTTCAAAAGATGAGAACATTAGAACTCTCTTGCTATGCTCATCCCCTCTCCCTCACCTCCCAATTTTTTATTAGATTATTATTTTTACATTGTCCAGATTTATAATATCCGCATTCTGTTTTGAAACCATAATCGCTAGGATTGTTTAGTAGTCATCCTACATGTAAACAGATCCAGTGTCATGGCTTCTCCATGCTTGAGTTCTTGTTTTGACTGACTTATTTTTTTTAAAGATTTTTATTTATCTATTTCTTAAATTTTATTTACAATCAATTAGCATATAATGTATTATTAGTTTCAGGGGTAGAATTTAGTGACTCATCAGTTGCATAGAACACCCAGTGCTCATTACATCAAGTGCCCTCCTTCATGCCCATCACCCAATTATCCCATCTCCCACCCACCTCCCCTCCAGCAACCCTCAGTTTGTTTCCTACAGTTAAGAGTCTGTTATGGTTCATCTATTTATTTATTTTTGAGAGAGAGATAACAGGGGGAGGGACAGAGGGAAAGGACAGAGAGAGAATCCTCAAGCCAGCTCTCCGCAGAGCATGGAGCCCGGACAACTCCTTCCCTGTTGTCTGCTGTAGGGATCGATTTCAGGACCCTGAGATCATGACCTGAGCTGAAATCAAGAGTCAGATGCTCAACCGACTGAGCCACCCAGGCGCCCCTATTTTGATTGATTTCTTAGTTGCTTGCCTTTGGTTATCAAGCAGTCCTTTCCAGCAAGTGTTCATGGGTATTTATACTTAAATGATATCTGGGGTAATCCTTTCTTTTCTCAAAACTTTG